CACTTAAATTCAGTTTCCTCTTCATTATTTAACAGTCATTTCTAAAGTTCTTAATTAAAAGATCTATTTTTGGTTTTTTAAACAATCGTGACATGTACTCTCTAATTATAATCTGTAGATGATAAAATAAGCTCCAGAATTGTCAATCATATGTTGATATGAGAGTGTCACAGTGGTTTCTGTGCTTACTTCAGTAACTTGAATTCAGTTTCCCACTCAATACTAATAGTCCTATCTAAAGTTATTAATTTAAAGAGAGCAGTGTAAACATTGCGGGTGGTCAAATTATCCTTTCCTCGATATCATTTTCCTAGATAAGTTTCACAGCCCCATGAAGTGCGAATGCGTCTCGCTCACTTTCCTTGAAAAATATTGAAAAAAGTGGCAATTCGCTCTGCAGGATTATTCAATTTTTTAGAAGGGATTTTTCAGTGTTGGAGAATGTCTGATACCTCTGATATTGTTATTTTATGCATAATCTGCATTGAGTCCTTGGTTATTTTTATTGGAAATACTTTCACTATATTTGTATTTTGGAATAACCGTAAAAAATTAAAGCGCACCGCCTTTCTTCTCATAAACTTGGCTATTGCAGATCTTCTTGTCGGGCTCATTCAAATGATAACAATGGGAGGATATACCATCATTCTACGTCAAATCCAAACGAACAGTACACGAGAAAGCGTTAAATCAAGAAAATGGATTTTAGCCGCGCAACAAGTATTGTCACCGTTTGCATCAATACTTTTCCTTGTGCTCATCTCGCTGGAACGAGCATATGCTCTGATATGGCCGCTCCACCATCGAGTGGCTAGTATGAGAGGCTATATTTACAGCGCCATCTTTACGTGGCTTGCTGCAATAGCTCTTCAGACATTGTATTTGTTTGGTGTGTACTGTAACGTCTTGGATCTTAAACATTTGATGATTGCTCTGTCTTGCATTGAGGCTTTATCCCTGATTTTAATTTGTGTCTGCTATATGACAATACGAGCTAGACTCAGTTCCAACGGATTAACAACAGTTGCAGCTAAGAACAATTCGCTGGAACAGAACAAGAAACTCTCCAGAACGTTTTTTACTGTGTCAGCTGCCTCTCTTGTCTGTTGGGGTCCGAGTAGCGTTGCTTTCTTAATTTTCCATCTGAGTTCCAAGACATATCGGCCGAATGCAATTATTTATAGTTCTTGTATTCTTTATCTAGGCAACTCTTAGGTGAATCCTTTCATTTACAGTTTTAAATTTCCCATGTTTCGAGAAACTTTACAAAGAATAAGACTAAAGAGGACTTCTAAACAGTATAGAGTCAGTTGAAAAGCATAAGCCTTTGAGCTTCTACTTCTCGAAGAAGAAATCGCGGAAACAGAGCTATTTATTGTTCTAAAGAAAGCGAAGTATAGTTGTAGCTGTGTGATTCCTATTCGACCTTTTCATCTCGTTAATATCTAGAAAACTAAAGACATAGTTGCCTTGCAGATGCTGTGAATCAGAAAAGGAACTATGGTTAAAAAATGTAATTGGAGTCAAAAAGCCTTTCTCGCCTTTCTGAGAAGCACCTGGCTGTATAGCAGAGAGGTGACGTAAACTCAGGAGCTAAAATCTATCAACTTATTTTTGAGAAGAAGATGAGTATACACTGTGTATAATTTATTTCCCTTCATGTTCACCTATGTGCAATTCATGTACTTGAATAAATTTAAAACCAACTGTCTTTGAAGTTATCATAATGGATGTACACTATATGGAGTTGCAAATGAAGTCAAGTTTGCCTCCTCTAATGTGTTTGGTGAAAAATTCTGCAAAATTTCCCTTTGCTTACCTTGCGTTTTGAGAATCATAAAAAAGCTGCCTATTTATCTTTTTGAAAAGGTAAATTTGATTTTGCTTGATGTGCCAATTGTGGCATATGTTTCGTAATTACTTTTTTCTAAAAGATAAAACTATTAGTATTGTAATGTTATAAGTTTTTTAATTAATCCCTTATGTTTACTTTGCGTTGTCTACACTACGCCATTTTTTTCTCTTGTGTACCCTGCTTATATAAGACACTTCAACTTTTAATCATCTTTTTCAGAGTGAGATCCGTTTACTAAAGGTCTTAATCAAAATTTTTGCGATAAATAATGACTGGATCCTGCAGTTTGTATAATTGTATTTGCTTTTTTTCTTTTCTTTCGTTCAAGTACATCACACAAGGGGGCGTATTCCTTCTTATATAAAGTTGTGCCCCACAACTGATGAGCTGTTATTGAAAGTTGGAAATACCCTGATTACTTTGCAGTTCAAGCATGCCTGACAAAAGCGTTGTCGTAATTCACGGCGTTATATTGCTTGAATCTCTTATTATCTTCTTGGGCAATACTTTCACCGTCTATGTGTTTTGGAAAAACCGAATGAAACTGAAGCGGACCTCCTTTCTTCTCATAAACTTGGCTATTGCAGATCTTCTTGTTGGACTCTGTCAAATAATAACATTAGCACGATTTTACATTCTGCATTATATGCAGACTAACAGTACTCTTACTGAGAGTGAATTGATCATGAAACGATGGCTTTTAGCTGTGCCTCAACTATGTGTGCCTTATGCATCAGTTTTCTTCCTTGTGCTTATTTCGATGGAGCGAGCGTATGCTCTGATATGGCCTCTACGCCATCGTGTAGCAAGCTTGAGAGGCTATCTTTACAGCGCCATCTTTGTGTGGGCTGCTACAACAACTCTTGGGGCATTACTCGCGCTAGTTGTAAAATTTGAAATCCTGGAAATACACCATTGTATGACTGCATTATCTTGCATAGCTTTTTTCTCCTTAATTATGATTTGTGCCTGCTATGTGGTAATACGAGCTAGACGCAGTCCCAATGGATTGGCGACAATTGCCAACAGGGACAATTTACTGAAACAGAACAAGAAACTCTCCAGGACTTTGTTTACTGTGATAGGTGCCTCTCTTGCCTGTTGGGGTACGAGTAGCGTCGCTTACTTTATTTATTTTCGGTGTTCACGCTGTTATCCTCAAACTGTTCTTTACGGTTTTCATATACTTCATTTGGGAAATTCTTTGATAAATCCCATCATTTATAGTTTTAAGTTTCCCATGTTTCGGCAAACTTTAAAACGAATAAGACTGAAAAAGACTCCTAAACACTGAGTACAGAATGAGTTGAACAAGACATGCTTGTGACGTTCAAAGAAGAAATCGCTGTTTATTGAGCAAAAGAGAATCAACTGTCATTCTAGCTGATTCTTATTCGACCTTTTCATCTCGTTAATACTAGAGTATACTTATGATACAGTCGCCTTATAGATGCTGTGAATCAGGAAAGAAACTATAGATTAAATATGTAATCAGATTCAAAAAGCCTTTCCTGCCTGTCTGAGAGATACCTGCATGGCTGGATAGCAGAAAGGTGACTCAAACATAGCAACTAAAATTCTATGAAATTTTTATTGAGAAGAATATGATAATGCGTTAACTTAGTAAGTGTGCATTGTACATGAATTATTTGCGTTCATGTGCACTTATGTGCAACTCATGTATTTTAATTATTTTAAAATCAGCTGTCATTGAAGTTATTAAAATGAATGCACAATGCAGTTGTTGCAAATGAAGTCAAGTTTGACCCTTTCAATGCTTTTGATGAAAAATATTACAAAATGTTCCTTTGCTTGCTTTTTCTTTGAGAATCATTAAAAAAAGATGCTTACTTATCTTTTGAAAAAGTAAATTTTATTTTGATCAATGAGCCAATTGTGGCATATGCTTCGTGGTTATTTCTTACTAGAAGGTAAAACTACTAGCATTTCAATGTTATAAGTTTGTTATTAATCCCCTCTGTTTACTTTCCGTTGTATACACTACGCAAGATCTTTTCTCTTGTGTACCTTGTTTATATAAAGCACTTCAACTTTTAATCATCTCTCTCAGAGAATGAGATCCGTTTACTAAAGATTTGAATCAAAATTTTAACCAAAAATAATGACTGAAGCCCGCAGCTTCTATAATTGTATTTGCTTTATTTTCTTCTTTCGTTTAACTACATCACATAAAGGGTCGTATTCCTCCCTATACCATGAAAATTCTGCCACACAACTGATGAGCTGTTATTGAAAGTTGGAAATTCCGTCATTACTTTGCAGTTCAAGTATGCCTGATAAAAATTTTGTCGTAATTCATTGCATTATTTTGCTTGAAACTCTTAATATTTTCTTAGGCAATACTTTCACCGTATTTGTGTTTTGGAAAAACCGAAAGAAATTGAAGCGGACCTCCTTTCTTCTCATAAACTTGGCTATTACAGATCTTCTTGTTGGACTCAGTCAAATGATAACAACTGGAGGGTTTTACATCCCGCATCGTATGCAGACTAACACTACGCTTAGTGAGAGTGAATTGAAACAATGGCTTTTAACTGTGCCCCAGCTATGTTCGCCTTTTGCATCAGTTTTCTTCCTTGTGCTTATTTCGATGGAACGAGCATATGATCTGATATGGCCGCCACGCCATCGTATAGCAAGCTTCCGAGGCTATCTTTACAGCGTCATCTTTGTGTGGGCTGCTGCAACAACTCTTGGGGCAATAAGCTTGCTAGTTGTAAAACTTAAAATGCTAGAGGTAGGCAGTTGGTTTGCTGCATTATCTTGCATAGCTGTTTTCTGCCTGATAGTAATATGTGCGTGCTATGTGGCAATACGAGCCAGACTCAGTTCGAATGGACTAGCGACAGTCGCCAACAGGAAAAATTCACTAGAAAAGAACAAGAAACTCTCCAGGACTTTGTTTATTGTGATAGGTGCCTCTCTTGTCTGCTAGTAGTGTGGCGTACTTTATTTTTTATCGTTGTTTCGGTCTTTTTCTTAGACCTCTTCTCTACAGTTTTTTTATTTTTCACTTGGGAAATTCTCTGTTGAATCATATCATTTATAGTTTTAAGTTGACCATGTTTCGAGAAACTTTAAGAACAGTAATAGTACCTAAAACTTCAAAACGAATGAGACTAAAAAGGACTTCTAAGCAGTACAGAGTCAGCTGAAGAACACAGGCCTTTGAGCTACTAGTTCTCAAAGAAGAAATCGCAGGAGCAGAGCTATTTATTGGGTTAAAGAAAACTAAGTGTCACTCTAACTCATTCTTACCCGACCTTTTCAACCCGGCAGTGAATCAGATAACGAGCGTTTTTTTTATCGTGACAGCTGGCTCTCTTGTCTGTTATGGTAAGAACGTAAGTAAAAGCTTTATTTAGAGAGGGTAACACACGACAGTATGACTGGCAAACTAGTGGCCCTCTCTAGGGGTCCGACTAGCGTTGCTTACTTTATTTTTGATCTGAGTTCCAGTTCATATCCGATCGCAGTTATTTACAGTTCATGTTTACATTGCTTATTTGGGCAAGTCTTTGGTGAATCGATCATTTATAGTGTTTAGTTTGCCATGTTTCGAAATTCTTTACAAAGAATGAGGCCTAAAAGGGTTTCTAAAGAGTACAGAGTTGAACAGCACGGGCTCGTGATCTTCTAGTTCTTAAAGAAAAAATCTTGGAAAGGGAGCTATTTTAGGTCTAAAGAGAGCGAGGGTCATTTCTAGCAGAAGTTTTCATGTCAGACATGCACTAGCACCTGCAAGACTAAACATATTCTCATTCTTAAGTAGTTTGTCCTCAACCATTGGTGAAGATTGTTTATTACTATGATTATTATCATTGTTATTATTTTTTACAATGAGTTCCGTCGATGGTAATCGTAAGGTTTTTCTACTGACCATGGTAAGGATCCAAGAAGAAGAGGAAGAAGAATGGAGGAAAATCTTATTGCCATTCTTTAGCGCTTTTCGTCTCAGAAACAAATCTACCCCGTCATTGAGTCGTAACAGTACACCGGTTAAAACAGAATTTGCCTCTATTTAATTACACTCGCCAGCCATTAAAATCTTTTAGATTATATAACTTTAAAACCAGCTCTTCTCTAAGTTATTTTAAATGGACGCACCAATATTAGATGGAATTGGAAATAAAGGTGATTTTGACATCGTAAGTCTATGTCCTGAAAACTTCTTGAGAAAGTCTTTTTACATTAAAGATTTATAATAAAGCGCTTATTCTATTTTTGAAAAGATCGATTTGTTTTCGCTTAAGGTGCCATTTTGGTTCATGTTTTTCAGTTATTTAATATAAATATAAATGCTAAAATAACTGACAGTGTTATGTTATCATTTATTTATGAACCCCGGCCTTATTTTAACGAAGGGTTGTATGCACATGACTAATGGGAATGCACCAAGTCTTTTCTTAACTAAAAATGTTGTGTACCTTGTTTATATAGGAAAATGAATTACACTTTTAATTATCTCTTTCGTAAAGTTATATCCATTTGTTAAAGGTCTTCATAAAAATGTTACAGATAACTACTGGCTAGAATTGGTAACGTACGTCTCTTTAATGCATATTCTATGGAGTTTCAAATGAAGTCACGTTTGCCTCATTCAATTTGATTGATGAAAA